TATATATATATATATATATACATACATACATAAAATAAGGCAAAGCAAAAATGAAACTTCGCAGTAATAAGGCAAAAATGTAACAAGGAGGAAATCATGAAAAAAACAATAGCTCAGTACTCAGTAATACAACAAAGGATCTCCCGAGATACCGTCTCGTAGTTTCAAACGTAAATGTGCAGGGGGATCTCCCGGAATACAATTCTGTAGTACCAAAGTAAATATGCAAGACATGGGGATCTCCCGGAATCACGTTCCGTAGTCCCAAAGTAAATATGCAGCCAAATAATAGAATTCAATAGTTACTACACTAAATCTTACAATTTAACCTAAGTACAAGTTACGAGAAAATAGGTAAAACCACTAAACATGTTGCACGTAGTTCAAGTAAATCGTTAAGGCGAGTAGGCATGTTTTTTTAGTCTGACACGATACTACACATGCTAATAAGTTCAAATAAGAGGAAAGACATGTTACTATTTAGTGAAAATCGAGTTTACGACAAATAGCGCGTGTACGTACTCGTTACCTCACGTACGCGGCTGTAATGCCCCGGAAAAAAATTTTGTTAATTAATTTAGGATTTCGTGGTACCAGGTAGGCTAATTATAATATTTTTCATGCTATTAACATGATGGACATCAATTGGATTTGTCAAATAAGTGTATAAGTCATATAATAAGTAATTTAGGGTCCAAGGAAAGGCCTAAGTCTAAGTCAAATTGGAAAATTTCATAATAGGCTAAAATTCCAAATGAGTTCGCACAAGTCCACACTTTGGACGAGCATATCTAAATATATATATGAGGTTTTATGTGATGAAAAACCTATCAAATGAAAGGTCTTCGAGTCTAGTTTATAACGCTTCAAACCTTTCGTCATTTGGACATTCCTACACAAAGTTATGAACAAATTACCAAAGGCAGGATTTGCGATCAATTTCGTGATCGCAAAATGACTCTGCGGACCTCATACACGTCGCATAGAAAAGCAGAGTCGGGCAAAAATTATGTTGTCGCATGTTGATTATTCTATCGCATAATTTATTATGCTGTCAATTATGCTATCGCATAATGATTATGCTGCAAGTCTCCTACCTACATATCGATTACGCTATAGTATAATTACACCACATATTTGACTTTGGGGGTCAGTTTTGGAAATTTTTATATCCGAACTCACTTTGATAAATAAGCCTTGGGGGTTCATTTGGGGCTATTTTATGCTAAATCTAGAGAGAGGTGAGAGCATTTTAGAGAGAGAAGGAGGAAGCCTAGCATTATAACCATTCAATCTCTCATCAATCTTCAAGAATCAAGGAAACCAATCACAAGATCTTCATCTAAGAAGTAAGGTTCTATACACTAGACTTTAATTCGAATTTGGGGTATAAGATGAGTTATTAAGGTATGATTCTTGGGTGTAATAGTATTATGTATACATGCATGTACAAATTAGGTTTGTGGAAAGATTGTTGAACACAAATAAGTAAAGATTGGGTTGGGGAATGAAGGAAATCTTGTAGAAGAGCTTTGAAATCAAGATGCATAACTAGTATTTGATAAAATGCTCAAATGAGATGAAACCATGAATATCTTCCTAATTTGTGTTCGATTTTATTATGTCTCTAAGTAGATTGGGATTGCTAGAATTTTCGGAACTTTGTAGTAACTTAAGAAAAGCTTAAACAAGGTATGTTGGCTAAACTTTCTCTCTTGGAATCAAATTCCATAAATGTTTCATAAGTTCAAGCATGGTTGGCTCAAAGTTCATAAATCTTATATTCCGGGTTATTACCCATNTAAATAAAGGGTTGTAAGCCAAATTGTGTGAGAAAACTTGATATGGTTGATACTCTTAAATGCTCTCATATGTACAAAATGTATTTGATTGATTGTGTCTAGTTGTTGGTAATCTGTAAAGATGTTTGAAATGAATTCGGGAAATAGAGTGTGGTCAACGTGCCGACAACTTGAGTTATAATTGTGCCTGGTGATGCCTATGACATGAGAAAATGTGATTATATTATGAAATGAGCCTCGACTCAACCATTTTAAGATGACTTCAAAGAGTAGAATTTGCTTAAAAGCTCTATTGAGGTATGTATGGCTAACCCTCTTCTTCTTATAATTGAACTCTTGGTGTCCGAATAATTGGTGTAAGTTTTGACTTGATCATGATAGAATTGGTTGTCTTAATGTGTTGGGTTGAAAGATTTATGTTCCATAATTGTTCTAAATGTTTACCATGTAATAATGCTATTTGAGAACGTGGTTATGATTTCCAAGCTCTTTTCATTATGTGTGCAATGTTTTATCTGATAGAACTTATTGACATGAATGATACTGTTGTTCAAACAAATAAAAAGGGAAAGACTAGAATTTTAAAATATGTCCAAGTGCCAAGAACTACTTAATAAATGGGGATGTTTGTGTCATGTAATAGAAGATGGAAAGAAATGTGAATTAAATGAATAATTGAAAGAGGTTATGTCCCAAGTGAGATGGCTTAGCCGGTCGGGCCGAGACCGGACTCCGTGTAAGAACAAGGTGGCATTGTGGATGAAACTGTGAATAAGGTTACGTCTCACTTGAGATGGCTTAGCCGATCGGGCCGAGATCGGATGCCATGTTGTACACATGGGGGCATTTACGTTGGATTTCTGATTATCATTGTGGATTTGGATATGTCTCACTTAGGATGGCTTAGCCGGTCGGGCCGAGACCGGACTCCGTGTAAAAACACGGCGGCATTATGGGTTGTGGCACTTGGCACTAAAGATTATTTAACCTAAAGAGATGAAAAAATTGAATCAGAACGATGTGGTCCTTATTTAGTGTTTCCTTGTAATCCTGTGAAGTACTTATTGATTATTTTAACTGCCTTCTATTTGTTCTCACTATTCATTTTATTAAGATTTGTGTTTGCTTTACGTACTAGTACTATTCGACAGTACTAACGTTCCTTTTGCCGGAGGCGCTACATCTTTAAATGGATGTAGGTGGTCCCATAGCATACAGTATTGGTCGCAGCTAGTGGCGCATCCTCTTTTCAGCTGGCTTGGTGAGCCCTACTTCACTTCGGGGTCCTGTATCATTGTTTATCATGTACTTTGTATTTTGAGGTATAGCCAGAGCCTTGTTGCCAGCATTTCCATATTACTCTTCAGTTATATTTAGAGGCTCCGTAGACAGGTTATGGGTGGTGTTTGGTATTGGAGATTAAATTAAAAATATTGGTATTTGACAAATATGTTTTTCTTCATTTCTATAAAAGTGAGCAGCATTATTGTTTGTAATGCTTGGAGTTTTACTTTCAGTTTTGTCGTTCGAGACTACAACTGGAATACTCTGCAAGAAGAACTTTAAAGTCTTACTTAGTCTTTCAGTAGGTAAGCATATGTAAATTGTATCGTATACACGACTAACAAGATGGATAAACTTTGTGACAATGCTTGATCCTCACCTTTTCCAGGAGAGTTATCCTTTCATGTTTCTCCTCTTCAATTGTTTGTTCTTCAGGTTTCTCCTCAATTATTGGTTCTTCAGGTTTCTTCTCAAATGCTGGTGTTTCACGTTTCTCCTCAATTGATGGTTCTTCAGGTTTCTTCTCAACCGTTGGTTCTTCAGGTTTTTCTTCAACTCCGGTTCTTCAAGGTTTGCCTCAACTGATAAATAGTCGGCAACATCATTGTTGGTATTGCATTGAATTTCACTGTCAGTCTTCTCATTGAAATCTACAACTGACATATTCTGCAAGAAGAATTTAAAGTTTCACTTAATCTTTCAATTGATAAGTAGATTCGAATCTTTGCACATACAGAACTAATAGGATGGATAAACTTTGTGATAGTGCTTGATCCTCACCTTTTCCAAGAGAGTTACCTTTTCAGACTTCTCCTCTTTAACCGCTGGTTTTTCAGATTTCTCTTCAACTACTAATTGTTCAGGTATTTCTTCAACAGATGGTTCTTCAGGTTTCTCTTCAAATTCTAGTTCTTCCGGTGTTGGTTCTTCAGCTTTTTCTTCAACTATTAGTTCTCTAGGTTTCTCTTCAGCTGCTAGTTTTTCATGTTTCTCCTCAACCTCTGGTTCTTCAAGTTTTTCTTCCACGGCTGGTTTTTCCTCAATCGCTGGTTCTTCATGTTTCTCCGTAACTGCTGGTTCTCTAGGTTTCTCTTCAACCGTTGGTTCTTCATGTTTTTCTTCAACTGCTGGTTCTTCAAGTTTTTCCTCAACTGCTGGATAGTCAACAGCGTCATGATTGGTATTGCATGAAATTTCATTCTTGGTCTTGTCGTTCGAGTCTACAACTGGCATATTCTGCAAGAAGAATTTAAAGTTTCACTTAGTTTTTCAATAGATAAGCAGATGTGAATTCCTTGCACATATAGAACTAATAGGACGGATAAATTATGTAACAATGCTTGATCCTCATCTTTTCCAGTAGAGTTACCTCTTCCTTATTGTCATCCATGTTGCATTTTCCCTTCAAACCACCATGGATATCTTCTGAACTGGTGGCTGTATCAAGCTTATGGTCGGATGTTGTCTCTATAAGTTCCCCGAAAGATGAGTTTCCAATCTCGTCACCAGTGACATGCAAGAGTTCAGTGAGATTCTTTTCCACTTCATTTTCCAAAAGGATGTCATTTGACTTGTTATCTTTTGGAATTTCAGCAATTTCCTGCCCTTCTGCTGCAATTTCTGATGCTTCGTCATCTCTACTTTCTCTTTTTGAGCCTTCTGGCATGTCCAGCTGGTCAGTTTTCCTTTGCACATTTTCCTCGCACGCTACCTGTGAATCATCAACAATTTGGACATGGTTTTTTCCAGACTCATTTGCTTTACTTGCTCTGCGATCAATTATAGTGGCATTCTCAAACATCTTGGTTTGGTTTTCTTCTTCATGCCGGCTCGTGTTGGCATCATTCTCTGAGACAGTTCTGATGACATCTCTTAATGGTGCAGAATTGGTATCTTCTTTGGGGGCTATGTCCTCTCTTTCTTCTGTAAACGAAGATACCAATATGTCTGAGCTCTGAATATCATCAATGTCCTTGGATGTTGTATTTATTATTATTTCGTTAAACTGATGTGCTTCTTGGTTTCCATTCTCAATTGAGTTGTCCCCATGTTTCCTGCTCGTATCTGATTCAGCATCATCTAACCTGGTTTCTTCTACAACATTAACAAATGGGTTAACAAGCAGATTCCTTGCACCCTCTCCATCTCCTGTCACTTTTTTCTCATCCTCTCCTGTTTGGCACTCTGTTTGGGGGGAGATGAAAATACTTCTATCATCATCGTAGTCTTTCTCATCTTTGAGTGCTTTCTCATCCTTCGTGTGACCAGGTGATTTTATTGCTTCAGCGTTTGTCCCTTCTGTTCTTTCTAAAATGGATGACATTGTCTCTTTTTCTTCTTTTCCTTCAATGATTGTTTCACATGAGTCTCTTCCTTTGTCGGTATCAGGTACATGCTTTGTGCTGTCATCTTCATGACAAACTTTTTCTTTTTCTGTTGTATCCTCTAGTAAATGTTCTGTGGTACTCTCTTCATAGCTTAGCATGTGTACAATCTGACTTGAGATTGTCTTTGTCAAATGTCCATTGGGTTTTTCTTGTGTCATGCATCCCTCATCCTTGTCCGAGCTAGTTGCTGATTCTTTTACATTTTGTGTGTATCCGTCTGAAGAAATATTTTCATTTGAGCTGATTTCTACTTTTTGGTCTTCTGTTTTCTCCCCAAAGTGGAATGAAATCCCTGACATCTCTTCGCCTGACTTGTTTGGTGTATCGACTGACACATGGACTTCCATTGAACTGCTAATTCCTTCAACAGCCTTGGCAACTGAGGGTGATTCAAAAATATTTTCACCCTCAGCTTTTCCGTTGTTACCTTGAATGGGATCCTTAACATTTTCAACCTCTGAAGTTCTTTCAACCTCAGGTATTGGATGGACTTTGTTGTCTGCCTCCATGATCAGTTTGTCTGATACTACATATGCTTCGCCTAGCAAATTCTCTTCTTTTTTCTGCATGAAGTAAAAATGGTTTTGCTTTATTGTAGCTAAATTAAAAAAGAAATGTGTTTATCTAATATTGACAGGGCAGCACTCAAACATGAACTTTGTCAGGATAACCATAGCATATTAAACTGCATATATTAGCTGGATTCCTGTTTATAATTGAAACGGAGTTACTAACCCTGGCCTAGTGGTCAAATCCCTATTGCTCTAGCCTTTAAGTCCCAACGTATGACCTGCTCGCTGAACTTTCTTTGCCATGTTTGAGAATTCCCATAGAAGTAGTTGCTACTGCTACTCCCTTTATTAACCAATCAATATCCAACATGACCTATTTTCTCTTTGAATAATGTATCAGATATTTTTCTTTGATGAAGTGACTTCCATAGGAAACAATAAAACAATAGGAAATGCATGTAGACTTCTATATACGATATTTGAAGTTATCTTACTCCTAACAAGAGACAAGAGGGGTTGCTCTGATGGTAAGCAACCTCCACTTCCAACCAAGAGGTTATGAGTTCGAGTTTCCCCAAGAGCAAGGTGGGAAGTTCTTGGAGGGAAGGATGTCGAGGGTTTATTTGGAAACAGCCTCTCTACCCAAGGGTAGGGGTAAGGTCTGCTTACACACTACCCTCCCCAGACCCCACTAAATGGGATTATACTGGGTGGTTGTTGTTGTTGTATGGTTAAAAGTGCTAACGGAAACAAAATGAAAGTTGTTAGTGAAATATTTACAAAGTATGATAGATGGAGTTCATCTCCTCTTTATTCATGAATTAGTTTGGGGTAGAATGAAATCTAACAGGCTTGCTCAGTCAGGTTTATTCGGTTGAACGCCGGTCGGGCTCCTCGATTTTGGGGCGTGACAAACTTGGTATCAGAGCCTAAGGTTTTAAAATGTCCTAGGATGTCTCAGAGTCGTGTCTAGTAGAGTCCTTCTTATAGGTGTATTGTCGACCACATCAATAAATTGGAGGCTACTCGGACATTTAGGAATTTCACCATTCTTTGATACTCCAGATCGTGCGGTAGAACCCAAGATAGGGAGCTAATTTCCTCGCTATGTCTTATTCTCAAAATGAGAAATCTTGAAACTATAATCCATGAGTTTAAAGCAGTAAGGAGGGAATGACCCCACAATTGAATCTGAGGGAGATTGCCCAAGAGTTTGTTAGAAGAATGTATCAAGCCATGGAGGGATTGGTAGAACTTGCTGCTAAGGGGAGTACCCTTGTTCCTATTAATGTCTCTGCACCACCAGATCATGTAGTATATCAGTATGTTACCAACATACATTAGGGATGTGGAGTCGAGGGGTATCAATTACGCTATTGCCCTATCAACCTAAAGTCACCAGGTAAGTCACTCCTTAGTACATCAATATGAACAACACAAAATTTTTACTTGTTGTATATGTACATCCATATTGAAGAGTTCTCATAAACATGGTCTTAGCAAGATGTTGAATCACAAAACATTGCATGCACCTACTCTTTGAACGAGATGCATTATTCATGAATCCCCTCTATTACAAATTCTCCTATTTACATCCTCTTGTGGAATTGAGTTCTATAGTTATGTCCTTTAATTGAGTTATAACTCTAGGATTAATACTTTCCACTTGCTTTCCTAAATTCTCAACAAACGACTATACCCGATGAATTTCTTACAGAATCTTTTTGTTTAAATGGACAACATCTGCTCACTTGTGTCTATGCATTCACCATCGTAAAGTTTACCTATGTGGTGTCAAGTTCAATGTAAAGCATCCTAGTGTTGTGATTCTTCTAGAGTCGCTCTTTTTCTCACTGGTGTATATGGCTTCTATGGTTTGAACAGTGACTCTACTCTCTTGCGAGTATCATGAAACCTTTTCACTGTCTAGTAACATAAGAGCATTCCTTAGCACCTATCATATGAGTGCATGTCAATCGAAATGGTCACTTTTTGCATAAAGTCTCTCTGAAAATTGAGTTTCTCACATCTCCGTCATAGGAAGATCTTGTGTTGCCATCTTAGTATAATTTTTGTGTCCACTTGGGACACCCCGCAGTAAGTAGCTCACTTTGTTCCTAGTATTGTGGTTGTCCGTGACGTGGTCTTGTATTGTAATTTGGGAGTTAATATAGCATAAGCATGTCCAGCTCATTACAAATGTTTATTTTCTTTTTATACCTCCACAATATGTGTTAATTGTGTTCCTTAGTTAGCAAATTCATTGTGCTAGTTTCCCAACACTTGTTTGAAATCTATGAGAGAATCTGTACTTCTATGTGTCACTATAACACTTCCTTTCTCATAAGGACCCTCAATAGGCTCTCCGTCAAGACCAAATGCACATTTGGGGGCTATCATAGCACAACGCCTAATTCTCATGTTTTCCTGTCTTTCATTAGCATCTGGGTGCTTCTCAACTCAAAATCCATGGAGAACTCATCATGAACATCTGCAGACCTTCCATGATTATTTTATACTGTCTCATTGGGTTCGGTTGTCTTTACACGCTCAACTTCTAGAATCATTGACTATGTCATTGTCATGTGCAGGGAGTTTTGCTACCCTTGGTATTTCACCTCCCTGGGTGGATTGGAGTGTTATTTGTCCTTCTCCCCGGAGCATCATGTTAACCATTATAACCCTCTAACTAATAAATGATTTCATCCCAATATTAAAATATTCTAGCTATGTGGTTTCACTCGTGAAAGGTTTAGATTAGATGGCTTCAGAGTTTTGCACATATTATGAGCATATTGATTTGGAAGACAAGTTGTCGTATCTTTAGTTCTATCATATAGGATCAATTATCAGGAAGGATTAAGCTATCTGAAATATGATAATCTCATAAGTGCTCAATTTCTTTTCATCCTCAAGGGCTTGTGGCATAGATTCCCTGTGTCAGTTAACCTTAGGAGTGTAATTCAACTTCATGTAATATTTGAAACCCATGTCACATTCAAGGTGCCAGAGTATTCTCATTCTTGATAAACTGATTTTCCCTACATTCCAGGAGACGACTAGGTCACGTACTTGAATATTCCTCCTTAATGATTCCTATTGCCAATGTCCTAGTTACCCCTATGCCTCATTTGTCTAATAATTGATATCGTCATAATGATTAATCAAGTCAATATTGTTAGTAGTAATCTTCGTGTCTCTTAGCATATAATCTTATGAAATACTTTGCTCAACACATTAATGAATTCCTGGATAATTCTAGCCTAATATTGAACCCTGTTGTTCCCCATTGCATTAAATCTATTAGGTATTGAAGGTCCAAACATGTCAAATGGGAAGCATCACCATGTGGTCACATATATTCGATAGGTAATTTTATGGTCAATTCATGATAGCACATCTTAGTGTAATCGTTGAAGGTCATCAAAGGTTTAGTGTGGGTGTTCGCGTAGATATTTAGAATTTAGGAGGGTGAACGGTTTATTCTCAATATTTTTCCCTGAAGATGTTATGTGAGTTGATAATGAAGGTTGCATAAGTGTATTTCACATTAGGCCGCACTAGGAGTATGAAGTTTTCCCATAGTTGTTCCCCATATATTTTGTGTTTTCACATGTCTATGTCTAAGCAGGTAGTTGGAGATCCTTTGTGTATCATTCCGGTGGAAATTATTGAAGGTGAAGTTAATAGATAGTTAGATTATGCGAGGTATCTAGCTGTCATCCTTGTTAGATAAGTTTGGAGGTTGGGGTCATTTCCGTGAATGTGTTATGGAAAAGCCTGTAAGTCGAGGAGGCCACCTTTGAAGGCCGAAAGTGTCGTGGAAAGAAAATATTTTTGCTTGATTGTATAACAATTGGTTTTGATTTGAAAGGTACCTTATAGGTGTTATGATTTAAAAATGTGCAGTCCATGTTTAGGTATCATTATGATAATGTAGCGCTTGTAATGCTGAGATTAGTGTTATGGATATATATGTTGTGGTGCTTTGTCGAGTTGTGGATGTGTTGTTAGAATGGTTTTGGTGGTTCTCTGGCAGGTGGATAGGCCTAGTTACAAAAGAGATGTTGCTGAAATTTCTAAAAAATTTGGGAGTTAGTCAAAATTTAGGGACCTGAGGTAGTTTAGAAAAGAGATATATTATGTTAAGTATTTGGGGTGGACTCTACTTCTCATTCGAGGACGAATGATCCTAAGCGGGGGAGAATATAATGCCCCGGAAAATTTTTTGTTAAGCAATTTAGGATTTCGTGGTACCAGGTAGGCTAATTATAATATTTTATGTGCTATTAAAATGATGGACATCAGTTGGATTTGGTAAATAAGTGTATAAGTCATATAATAAGTAATTTGGAGTCCAAGGAAAGGCCTAAGTCTAAGTCAAATTGGAAAATTTCCTAATAGGCTAAAACTCCTAATGAGTTCGCACAAGTCCACACTTTGGACGAGTATATCTAAATACATATGAAGTTTTATGTAATGAAAACCTACTAAATGAAAGGTCTTCGAGTCTAGTTTGTAATGCTTCAAACCGTTTGTCATTTGGACATTCCTACACAAAGTTATGAACAAATTACCAAAGGCAAGATTTGCGATCAATTTCGCGATCGCAAAACGACTCTACGGACCGCATACGCTTCGCATAGTGAAGCAGAGTCAGGCAAAAATTATGTTGTCGCATGTTGATTATGTTGTCAATTATGCTATCGCATAATGATTATGCTGCAAGTCTGATGTCCACATATCGATTATGTTATAGCATAATTGCACCACATATTTGACTTCGGGGGTCATTTTTGGAAATTTTCATATCCGAACCCACTTTGATAAATAAGCTTTGGGGGTTCATTTGGGGCTATTTTATACTAAATCTAGAGAGAGGTGAGAGCATTTTAGAGAGAGAAGGAGGAAGCCTAGCATTATAACCATTCAATCTCTCATCACTCTTCAAGAATTAAGGAAACCAATCACAAGATCTTCATCTAAGAGGGAAGGTTCTATACACTAGACTTTAATTTCGAGTTTGGGGTATAAGATGGGTTATTGAGGCATGATTCTTGGGTGTAATAGTATTATGTATACATGCATGTACAAATTAGGTTTGTGAGAAGATTGTTGAACACAAATAAGTAAAGATTGGGTTGGGAATGAAGGAAAACTTGTAGAAGAGCTTTGAAATCAAGATGCATAACTAGTGTTTGATAAAATGCTCAAATGAGATGAAACTATGAATATTTTTCTAATTTGTGTTCGATTTTGTTATGTCTCTAATTAGATTGGGATTACTAGAATTTTCTGAACGTTGTAGTAACTTAAGAAAAGCTTAAACAAGGTATGTTGGCTAAACTTTATCTCTTGGAATCAAATTTCCATAAATGTTTT